TTGCTGGTGTTCAGAACCAACAGTGTGTAAATGTTGCCTACTCTTTACAGGTTAGATAATGTAACAATCAGAACATCTTTGAACCATCTAAGTGCTACACACTTAAAAATCGACATAACTCCCTTTTGTCCGAGAAGTCTTCACTGATAACTAATAACCTCTCCAGATTTTTGTCTGCTCGCCACAATTCAAATCCAATGGTCTTGTTGTTTAATTATACCTCACACAGTTTACCTTGTGGTTCACTGGAAGGAGACTTTTATCTCCTGCAGCATCTACAATCATGCTGGGCATTGAACCAGAGGAGTTCCTGTCTGGAGTCGGAGGAAGCATCCTCTACTCCCCAACACTTTTAATGTTGGCAGAGACCTGGAAGTCTCAGAGCCAACACACCATAGAGTTTGCAGGCTGTCTCCGCATGGGAACTGCTGGGCCTTTGGCAGTGAAATATGTGCTTGGAGCTTCTCTGTGCAACACCTTCACTGAGAGCTATTAGCATGACATACCATTATTTTCCTTGGATTGGATTTTCTCAGGAATACAGCAGCAGGCGCTCCACACGCTGAACATGATAAAAACAAGGACTGTTTGGCAAGAATGTGCTGTGAAAATAACCAACAGAAAGTAGGCTACAGTGCAGAGCTCATTCAGAATCCTTTCTAAGAGCTCCCAGCCCTGAAAGCATCTGTCAGTTTTGCCATGCAGGGGAGGAAAAAACTGTTGAGTGGAAAGAGATCATTTACAGAAAACAGTCAGCTGAAAAAGGTAATGAGTGGTCAAAAAAAGCTCATGGAAGATGCATATTATGAACGAACTGCATGAATTGCAACATTTTTTGCACCAGAATAAATTTATCTTTTTTATTCCATTTTTTCCTCAAACTTTTTGAAGTGCCATCTTACTGAGAATGCTGGAGGACCTTGAAAAATGAAAGGAGGCATTGTTAAAAATGCACATTGCTGGGTGTTGTCCCAGACCTACAAACTCCAGAATCTTGAGGTAGGGGGCGCTGGCATTTACATTCTTACAGCATCTTCTAGTGATTCCAATGCAGGTGGTCTTCCAACCGCGTGCTGAGAAATGCTGGCTTCAAAGGAGAGGCAAGACCACCAAGGAAATCTCCTTTAGGAAAAACAAGAGGAAGCAACACAAGAGTGAAGGGCTATGGATAGGAAAGGTCCAAATCTGAGGTGTCAGCCATCGTTCCCAACTCCTGATGTCACAGTCCTGTAACAGGCAGGACTCAATTGGGATAGTAATTTGGACCAGAAAAAAAAAAGTCATTGAAGAATTATTGACCATAATAAAGGATTACCTTCAAGGGGGAAGGTGGAACTCTGAGAACAGAGGTATTGTAGATGCACGGAGCAGCCCCTACTCAACTAGTCATCTTGAGGTTTGGTCAAAACACCAAGGAAGCAGCACACCTAGAACAACTCGCACCTGCCAGGATTAAGATCCAAACACCACTGGAGAAGATATGGCCATGTCTCTCTGGGTGGCAGAGGTGCTGTGCCAACAGCATCCCTGTAGTGCTCACACAGGTGCCCATGGGAGATGCCAAACATTGCTGGCCACCCCCACACTGCAGAGCTGCTGAGGCCAAGGGCTGGTGTCTCAGGACTTACATACATACTACCACAAATGACGTGACTTATATCTTTTCTCACAGTTCAAGTCCCAAATCAAGGTGTCAGCAGGGCAATACTTCCTCTAAGTGCTCTAGGGAAGAACCTTCTTATTTTTTTTCCCCAGCCCTGGCAGCAAAGCTCCAATCTCTGATTCCATCTTGACATGGCCTTCCTCCTCTGTCTCTCTCTGTCCCTTGTCGCTCCCCCTCTTCGTGGAGGAACGACACAGGACCCTGCGTTGTTCTTTCGTCTGCTCGGCCCTCCCCGGGTTTGCTGCTGGTTCTTCCCGGGTTGGCTACCGACCCTTCCCCTGCCACTTTCCCCACTTCCGCAGGGGAGCGGCACACCGCTGGCCGGCTCTCTCGGGGGCTGCACAGGTGTTCCTTCAGATAGATGTTCCTGGTGCATGGTGTCTCTCTCCTCCTTTATAGTCCTCTTCCACCAATCCCAACTCTGCTACCCACACGCCGAGTACGCTGCTCTCCTCCAATCAGGAGCAGGTCCTGCTGTTTATTGGTTGAACTGGAGGCAGCTGTGTAGAAGCTGTTTCCTCCTCTCCCAGCGCCATATTGTGGGAGAGCAGATGCATAGAATAAGTCTTAATTCGAGTAACAGTCTAGTCCGAGTTGCTCCCCACAGTCCCTCTTGTCTGCAGTCTCCCTCTCTGAATCAGGACAGCAGTCACTGGGCTAGTACTCATCCTAATCCAATATGACCTCAACTTAATTAACCTGCAAACACCCTACTTCAAAACAGGCCCTATTCACGGGTTCTTAGTGCGCATGAATTGTGGGATCACACAGGAACCAAGGAAGAAGATCCCTTTCTTCAGAGGCCCTTCAGGATTCTCAACTAAAGCTTCATGGCGGGGAAGAGATATTCCAGTATTGGCCAGTGCTGTGGCTCACTAGGCTAATCCTCCTGCGGCCCTGGCACACCGGGTTCTAGTCCCGGTCGGGGCACCAGATTCTGTCGGTTGCTCCTCTTCCAGTCCAGCTCTCTGCTGTGGCCCGGGAGTGCAGTGGAGGATGGCCCAAGTCCTTGGGCCCTGCACCCGCATGGGAGACCAGGAGAAGCACCTGGCTCCTGCCTTCGGATCAGTGCGGTGCACCAGCCGCAACGCGCCAGCCGCAGTGGCCATTGGGGGGTGAACCAACGGAAAAGGAAGACCTTTCTCTCTGTCTCTCTCTCTCTCTCTCACTCACTACCCACTCTGCCTGTCAAAGAGAGAGAGACAGAGACAGAGACAGAGAGAGAGATGAGATATTCCAGTATTACCAGCAGATCAACGAAGGGTGGGTTTGAAGCTGAGAGCTGAATGGGTTGAAAACTCACACAGCTCACTCCCTTAGCTACCGTGGCCAAATGCATCTTTCTACATACCTGTGACCTCTGTAGAAACTGTGCAGCCCAACTAAGAAAATAAATTCTCTTTCACAGAAGTGAAGCATTTCTCATCTTCCAAAATGAATGCCAGCAGTCACTATACCCATCACTATGTTAATTACTCCTAAAATTCAGACACCATCTTCCTGACTATTCTGTTAACTAAAAACTAATGAGAAGGTGATCATATACTAGTAAGCACATACATAAATAAGCAAGGAGAGAATACACAAAGCACATGCAGTCTTTGTTCCTATTGCTGATTACAAAACCAGAGCTGGTAGCTGGGGCTCCTTTTCCTGCCCCTTGCATATTCTCCTTGCCTCTAGCAAGGGGACTGCTGGCCCACTCCTCAAATGCCTGCAACAGCCAGGTATCAGCCATGACAAAACCAGAAGATTGGAACTCCATCTGGGTCTCTCACCTGGGTGGCAGGGACTCAGGTACTTCAGCCATCATGTGCTGCTCTCCCGCCAAGCCCATTAGCAGGAGGCTGGATGGGAAGCAGAGGCAAACTTGAACCCAGAGATTCTGATGTGGGATGTAACCTCCCAAGCTGTGACTGAGCTCCGGGACCACACACCCACCCCAAGATTTAGATTCAATTGTAGCAACATTCAAGATACATGGATGGGGTGTGGTTGAGCTTCCTGCAGGTAAACACTATCCAATAGAACCAGGCTTATTTTAAAGAGCTCCACATTGACCATGTTTTGGTAGATTTTAGAGAATGACTTGCACAAGACACTTTGTATTTTGTATTTTCACACCATAGGGTACATGATTTAATATGGCCACTTTATTTTTTTAAAGATTTATTTATTTATTTGAAAGTCGGAGCTACATAGAGAAGAAGCAGAGAGAGAGAGAGAAAGAGAGAGAGAGAGATGTCTTCCACCCGCTGGTTCACTCCCCAATTGGCTGCAACTGCTGGAGCTGTGCCAATCCGAAGCCAGGAGCCAGTAGCTTCTTCCAGGTCTCTCACGTGGGCCCAGGAGCCCAAGGACTTGGGCCATCTTCTACTGCTTTCCCAGGCCATAGCAGAGAGCTGGATCAGAAGTGGAGCAGCTGGGACTCAAACCAGTGCCCATATGGGATGCTGGCACTGCAGGTGGCGGCTTTACCCCCTATGCCACAGCACGGGCCCCAATATGGCCACTTTAAAAGATGTTTCTTGAGTACCCAAATGGGTGAAGAAAAATTAAAAATAAAAAGATTTATTTATTTGAAAGGCAGAGTTAGAGGGAGGAGGCAGGGAGAGAGAGGTGTTCCATCTGCTAGTCCACTCCCCAAATGGCTACAAGGATGCCAGGAGCCAGGAGCTTCATCCTGGTCTCCCAGATGGGTACAGGGGCCCAAAGACTGGGGCCATCTTCTGTTGCTTTCCCAGGTGCAGCAGCAGGGAGCCGGATTGCAGGTGGAGCTTATCTCACTTCATCCTCCTAACAGGAGGTCTGCCCATTTGCCGTAAATTTTACATCTAGAAAAAGGCGTCTGGAGTAACATTTAGGTCTGTTCACTGAAGCAAAATTTGTTTAGCCCTGAAGAGCTGGGGCCGGTGGGGGCGTGGTCCCATACCCGGCTTTAAGAGCTATGATTGAGGTATGCACAGGCTGCCACGGGAACACAAAGGAGGCGCATCTTAGGCTCTCCACGACCTCTTGACCAAAATGCGCGTCCTTCTGCTCAGCACTTCTCTACCTGGGGGCCCAACTCCTCAACAGCTCCTTCAGCCCAGCTGGGAGCCTCTTTCTGCAATCGATGAGGGAAGTCGTCGCTGGGCGTCTCCAGTCCCGAAGAGCTCAGTCCAGGAGACACATCTTCCTTCCTTAACCATACCTCAGCGCCTCACACCCGACCACCGCACCCTCACTCCCTGCCCTCCACTCCGAGCCCGGACCCCTTCATCAGCACTTGCAGCGACTCGGCCCTATTCGTGCGGGGTATATGATGGGCTGCCCGGACTCCGGGCGGCGCACCGGAAGTGGCGCTACTGGGCGTCGGGAGGTAGCAGCTGGCGCCGCACCTTCTGGTTGGGAGTTGCTAGAGCCGGTGCTTCACTCTTAAGGGTCCCCGAGCTACCGGCGGCGGAACGGTTTCTGGGTCGTTGGGAGCTGCTCGCCCGGCTCTGCCAGCAGGTGCGCCCTGGGTGCTTGGGGCTGGGGGTGAGAAGGCCGCCCCTGAGGTCCCTCCCCGGGCGACCCCTGGGAGCTTCGTCCTAGGCCTCCTGGAAGAGTCTAAGTTAGGAAAGGCGCTAACCCTTCTCCAAAACCAGGCCCTTTTTCCTACGAGATGAGTTTCGCGCACTCCCCTTCATCCCCTGTCTGCTGAGGAAGAAACGGGCTGAGGACGTGTAGGCACCTGCCGCCGGTTATGCAGCTGGGAGGCGACAGCCCTGGATTCAAAGCGAGCCTTGCTGGCGCCAGTGTCCTGGCCCTTTACGCAGCAGCAGGGTTCTCAAGCTTTTATCTTCATCAGGAACCCCGGGCGAGGGTGGCGGTGGTTAGCACACGGGTGCTGGGACGCTGCGGGACGGGGCTCTGGAATCTGTGTGTTCACCAGTCGTCCCCTCCCTCTCGTGCGAACGGCGCTGGAAGGTGAGCGGGTCATTGGCCTTCTGGGGACTGTAGCTAATTGTATTAACCTTTTGAGGCCTTGATTCAGAGACAGTAATATGGTTCCCCCACATGTCTTGTGAGCTGGAGCATTGTTTTCTGTCTCGTGGACTCTTTCGAGCAGAGCCTGTACCATCTCCCCACCTGCTAGATGACCATGTAATTGGTATCACCTGGGGGAATTGGTGAACACATACAGATTCCTAGACTCCGCGCTTCCCTGATCAGAGGGTGGAAATCAGTAGGCCAAACAAGCTTTAAAATGAGCCCGCTGTCTTTGGGAACTTGACATGTGAAGATTTCTTAGATCTACAATGAAGTGCGTCAATGATCTGGAACCTGGACCTTGAATCCCAGTATTTGCTTGTTTCTTTTGATTATAGTTCCGTAGGCGCTGTGGGCTGAACTTTTATTGGCAAACATGTCAAATTAGTATTACTGGCAGTTATGAGGTGGATCTTTCACTTAGCTGAATACTTGAACTTAATAAAATTTGAGTGTTAATCTGTTGATTTCCTGAGTGACTTTGGGTAACTCACTAAACCTAGTGATCTCCATGTAGGTGGCATATCATCATCTTCTATACTGGTTATTAAAAAGATAAATTCCTCTCTTATTCCCACTCTTATGTACTTTGGAAATTTATATTCATTAAATAAAAGTAAAAAAAAAGATAAATTCCTGTATTCATCCTAGATCAGATTTTCTAGATGTGGGTGATAGATGTTTTAGACTTGAATTTATTATTTTTTAAAAATATTTATTTATTTGAAGTAGAGGGAGTGCTGATTCACTCTCCAAATGGTGGCAATGGCCAGGGCTGAGCCAGGAACTCCATCTGCGTCTCCCATGAGGGTGCCAGGGGGGCAGGCACTACATTAGCAGAGAGATGGATTGCAACTGGAGCTGGGGGAACTTGAACTGGTGCTCATATGGGATGCAGGTGTGACAAGCGGTGGCTTAACCTGCTGCTCCACAATGCCAGCGTCAAAATTTTATCTTAACAAATAATAATTGTCTGTGTGAGGTGCAGTATAATAGTTTGAGATATATCTATATCATAGAATGATTAAATCAAGCTGATTAACATTATCCCCTTACATTTGTCATTTTTCGTGGTGAAAACATTTGGAAATCTGTCGCAGTGATTTTGAAATATACATGATGTCATCATCACCATTCTGTTCAGTAAATTACTAAAGCTTATTGTTGAACTGAACATTTGAACCACTTAGCCAACCCAGCCTCTGGACACTGCATCCTACTCTCTACTTCTGTGCGTTTGACTTTCAGATTCCACACAGAAATGAGATCACCCAGTCTTTGTCCATGCCTGGCTTATTTCACTTTGTGTGACGTCCTCCAGGTTCATCCACCATGGGTGTTTTGCACAAACTTCCAGGGCAGTGTGTTGTACCCAATAATAATTGAATGTGGAAATACACTTGAGAGCTGAGTTCTCAGCCTGTTTCTGTTGTCCAAGTAGGTGAACATGGGCGTGTAAGAGTCCTTATGCTCTACTCTTGGCAACTATAAGAATATGAGGTTTGTGACAGGTCCTGCCTGACTTTAGTTTCTTCACAAGCACTTCTTTGTGAAAGTACTATGGTTTCGTTAGGAAAGATCAGCAGTCCCAAGTAACTTAGTAGGCTTGGTGAGTGGGGTGCTGAGTTGACAGAAGTTGATTTTATATCAGAACTCTTGATCACTACGCTGCCATCTGTGCTGCCTAAAAGGATTATAATGACACCCCCCTGCCCCTTAGGAGATCAAGCTCTTACAACCCTAACTAACAGCATCTTTCTTTTTTAAACAGCAGATACCACTGTGTGGTTTGAATCAGGAATGAGAGCTTTTGAAAGCTCAGAGCAGACTTCGGTTTGGTCAACATGGAAGACAAAAGGCGACGAGCCCGAGTGCAGGGAGCCTGGGCCGCCCCTGCTAAGAGCCGTGCTGTTACCCAGCCAGGCAAGAGCCTGAGGGGGTGGTGTCTGTGGTGCGGGAGGGGCTACCTCCATCCTCTTTTACTTACACGCTTTTGGCTTATTTTTGATTGTCATTTCAGTTGATGTTGAGGCATTGTTTAAAATGTGGCTGGCAGGTGGTTTGATTCTTTTGATGGTAAGAGAAGGGCGGGGTTCCTCCTATTTGGTTAGTACCTTCAGCCCTGCCAGTGTGTGTTCGCTCTCCTGCTGGCTCCACCCACTAATTTTTTGATGCTGTGGAGGTCAGTCTTTGCCATGTGACTTTCATTGGCCCTTGCGTGGAGGGAGACTTTCCCTTTTTTTGAGGCTGTTCTCTTTCTTTCTTCAGCTACCACCTCTAAGAGCCATCTCCACCAGACACCTGCCCAGACCTGGAGGAGCAAGGAGCACCCTCTGCCCGACAGAGAGTTCGTGTTCAGAGAACCCCAGCAGGTAGATTCTGGCTTCCCCTGTAACCTGTACCATGATTTGCTTATAAAAACCTATATGTCTATGTCTATGTCTCTCTCTCTCTGTAACTGACTTTCAGCCAAAAATTAAATATTTCAAGTTTCTCATAATCTGTCTCAGAATATCCAATTACATATATCATACTTAAAAATAAATAAAGCTATGTTTAGAGAGTAGACAAATAGTGACTGGATAAATTCACTAATGAATAACAGAAGGAAAAGGACTGTAATACTTATGAGATGTGAAGTATTGCAATTCGTTGGTATATCTGAGGATTCTTTGTGGTCTGCCCCCAGTTTATGGTCATATTTGGTTTTTTGGCAAGGAGACTGTACCACAACTTGAAGGTAGAGATTATACCATGACCAGAGCTTGCATCGACCAGTGCAAGTTTTAGTTCAAACGATCCTAAAACCATGCTTTCTTCAATGTTAATGCTGCAAGTATTTTTGAAATTGGATCAAAATTTCAGTTATTTTGACAAAATACCTGATACTTAGTTCTTTTTTTTCCATGGGGAAAAATGTAAAAAACAAAACAAAGAACAACACTGAAGATTCACTTTTTAATAATATGGAAAAAAGAGTTTGAAAAAATCGGGCATCTTGAGGCTGGTGGTGTGGCTCAGCAGGTTAAGCTGTTGCCTGCAATGCTGGTATCCCATACGAACTCCAGTTTGAGTCCCAGCTGTTCCACTTCCAATCCAGCTCCCTTCTAATCACCTGGGAAAGCAGAGGAAGAGAGCCCAAGTGCTTAGGCCCCTGCCACCCATGTAGGAGGCCTGGCTGGAGTTCCCGGCTCCTGGCTTTGGCCTGGCCCATCTCTGGCCATTGTGGCCATTCGGGGAGTGAACCGGTATATGGAAGATCTGTCTCTCTCTGTAACTCTGCCTTTCAAATAAATAAATAATCTTTTAAAGGAAAATGAGGCATCTTGCTGAAGTCATGATTATGTAAATAATTGTCAGAAGGTCTTATTTTATACTGTACCTCCTGTTTTTTTTTTTTAATCTGTTTTATGTAAAGATTTTTCCAGATTTCCTGGCCAACAGGAAGCTTGATGAATTCTAATTGTATCCTCTTTCCCTGTCTGCTAGCAAGTGTGAAGTAGTTCTAAGAACAGAAACCAAGATCTGTGATGGGGTAGTAAGAGGTTGGAATAATAAAGGGATCGTTTGCACCCTCGTTTATTTTTGAGCAGAAATGGGAGGCCGTGGGTAAGTCATTCGCCCTGAGGATTAGGAATCCTTCTGGAAGTAGCTCTGCTGTTTCTTTGCAGGTGGTGCGGCCCGTCCCAGAGCCTCGAGTGATTGAGTAAGTGACCTGCCGCCTCTCTGCAGCTTTGCCTGCAATGAAATGGAGAGCCCTGCCTCATTCCCTCAGCCTGGTTTTCCATCTGGAATAGAAGGGCTTAATTTTAGCTGGGAGATTCCTATCTCAGATGTCTTTAAACTTGATCTTTTGATAAGACTTCGAATTTGCTCGATGGTATGGAAAATGCAACAAGATCTCTGTCCATTAAATTTTGACTCGGCTATAGATTTCCTGGCCTTGCTTCACTGATACCCTCAGGCAGTAAGCTAAAACAGCTCTGAGGTCAAGACAGAGGTTTTTCCCCTGAATCACTGAAGCATAGCTCTTCAAGAAGCCCCTGAGTACCATTTTACTAGCAATGCTTATCACAGTTGCTAGTAATCTGGGTGAACTTAGAGTCCACTTATTAAAACCACATAATTGTACCAGGGCAGTTTAAATGTGAGTAAACGTCATTATGTGGATCGATGTCTAAAATGTTCTTACCCAGAGTTGACGAGAAATGCTTTGACTCCTCTTTTCCTGCTTCTCAGTTTCCATCTGCAGTAGATGAATTGTCAGTAAAAACTGCAAATGAGCATTAGGTGTATGTTGTTACCCAGGAGTAATCTATTACGATGTTTGGCTATTGGCAGGTTGATCTGCACATTTAAGGAAATTTGAAATTAACACAAAAGTCAATAGTCATAACTTTGTCATTAGTTAGCAGTTAACTGGTCTTTTTTTTTTTTTTTTTTTTTTTTTTTTTTTTTTTTTTTGACAGGCAGAGTGGACAGTGAGAGAGAAAGACAGAGAGAAAGGTCTTCATTTTGCCCTTGGTTCACCCTCCAATGGCTGCCGCAGCCAGCGCGCTGCAGCCCGCGCACTGCGCCTATCCGATGGCAGGAGCCAGGTGCTTCACCTGGTCTCCCATGGGGTGCAGGGCCCAAGCACTTGGGCCTTCCTCCACTGCACTCCCTGGCCACAGCAGAGAGCTGGCCTGGAAGAGGGGCAACCGGGACAGAATCCGGAGCCCCGACCGGGACTAGAAGCCAGTGTGCCGGCGCCGCAAGGCGGAGGATTAGCCTAGTGAGCTGCGGCGCCGGCCCGTTAACTGGTCTTTAGGTTGGTTCTTTCCATCTCTGGATTTTAGTTTTTTTTAATCTTTAAAATTAAAAGGTTGGACCACATAATCTCTAAAGACCCAATCTAGTTCTAATAGTCTTTGATTATTTTTAAAATATCAGTGTGGTATTGCCTTCATTGGTGATACAGAAAATAAGCAAAACCAAGAACCCTGTTACTAGGTACAGATGGCACATTCGGGCCAAAAAAAAAAAAAAAAAAAAGGGCAATTGTGAATTTTCAAGTTAGAGGAGAATGACAGAACCCACTCCTACTGGACCCTAGGGTTTGTTAATTATGGTCATCTAAAGTTTGCTAGATTCCTTTTAGTAGACATAAATGTGCTCTACATTTAAAATGAGCCGATTTATAGATGCCCCAAATATGTCACATTGAGACATTGTATGTATACCCTAGGAAATGTTATAGATAACTCATAGAAATGTGATTCGTACTGCATGTGTGATAGCATTTTGGCTTAAAGGGAGCTCAGAGAGAACTAACTCCTGTTTCAGAAGGTGACGTAAAAACTGTCCCTTTATGTTAGTCTCAATAAAGTATCTCTGAGAATGGTCTGCCCTAGTTGTCTTAATGGATGCACCACTCCAGTCCAATACTGCTTTCACGTTGTGGACCTCACAATGGATTAAATTCAGTTATCCATTTGCACCCACTGGGGAACAACAGCAATCCATGCCTGCCCTCAAGGAGCCCACAGTGTAGTAAATGAAATAGACATGTAAACAAATTGCAGTCTTACACCCATAAAACAGTAGGCTATGCGTCAGATACAGAGGATGACATGGGTAACATGATTTGGGTGGAATATGAGTCAGGAAAAGTTGAGAAAAGGTGATGCTGAGCTGAGATTTTTGGAGGGTGAATTAGAATTTTCCACTGGAGCAAAGCTGGTTGGGGATGCTAGGGTGAGAAGGTATTCCCGCATGTGGAAAATTACGGCGTTAGAAACACAGTGGCATACGCAGGGGTTGATTGCTACTTGCTGGAGGATGATGAATCCGTGGGAGCAGTTAGAAGAGGGAGCTGGACCCCAGGGAGCTGGGATGCAGGTACGGGAGCCATGGATTCTGATCCAAGGAGGAACTTAGCCATGCATCCTTGAAAGCAGCAAGAGTGCAGAGCCCTGAGATGTGCTTGCAGCCAGTTACGTGCATCCCTGTTCCAAACTCTCCAAAGGGAAGCACCTTTTTGCCTCTAACACCCCTCTGTGTTTCAAATGCCTGGACCATATCTGCCTAAATTCTGTGTGAAGTATAAACAGAATCAGAATTTATTTTATCCCATTCGTTGCCTCCATGGTCTGCTCTTATCAGGGTTCTGTTCCCAGCCCATGAAAATGATGTATCAACAACACCTTGCTGCTGGCCTCAGTGGTAGAGGAAGGTTGGGATTGTGTCTCTATGGATTTTGGTGAGCCAGGACTTTGGGAACTCAAGACAGTAGAACATTACTGTTTTGCCTCCTGCTCATCATGCTAACAAGTCTCTTTCCTTTGTTTCTTTAGCAGGGAAGGTGTTTATGAGATCAGCCTGTCACCCACAGGTGTATCTACGTAAGTGAATCCTCACTAACGTGACTGTTATTATCATCAAGTTACCATCTCTTTTTTTTGTTTAAAGATTTATTTTATTTATTTGAAAGGCAGAGTTAGAGAGAGATATCTATCCACTGGTTCACTCCCCAAATGGCCCCAAGAGCTGGAGCTGGACTGGCCCAAAGCCAGGAGTCAAGAAGCTTCTTCCGGGTCTCCCACATGGATTAGGAGGTCCAAACACTTGAGCCATCTTCTGCTGCTTTCCCAGGTGCACTAGCAGGGAACTGGATCACAAGTGGAGCAGCTGGGACTCAAACTGGTGCCCATATGGGATATAGCATTGTAGACAGTGGCTTAACCTGCTATGCCACAATGTCGGCCCTCAAGTTAGGATCTTCTAAATTAATGCACTCACTGACTTAAGTAGGTGACTTTTACCCTTCAAATTCTTGGGGAGCAAGAAAATCTTTTTATGTGGTATTTCTACTTTCAAAACTTTTTCTCATAGACAAGCTTTTGGCACAGCATGTAAGAAACCGCTTGGAACACTCACATCCCATATTGGAGTGCCTGGTTCAAGTCCCAGCTCCACTGCTTCTCATCTACCTTTCTGCCGATGCACACCCTTGGGGGCAGCAGAGGACAGCCTGAGTACTTGGGTCCCTGCCACCCACATTCTAGACCTGGACTGAATTCCTAGCTCTTGGCTTTGGCCTGACCGAGTCCTGGCAGAATCCTCAGTGAACTAGCAGATGGAATAGCTCTCTGTCTCTGTCTCTCTGTCTTTCAAGTCAAATGAGAATAAATAAAAATTAAAAAACAAAGGCTGGCGCCGCGGCTCACTTGGCTAATCCTCCGCCTGCGGTGCTGGGACCCCGGGTTCTAGTCCCAGTTGGGATGCCAGATTCTGTCCCGGTTGCTCCTCTTCCAGTCCAGCTCTCTGCTGTGGCCCAGGAGGGCAGTGGAGGATGGCCCAAGTGCTTGGGCCCTGTACCCGCGTTGGAGACCAGGAGGAAGCACCTGGCTCCTGGCTTCGGATCAGTGCAGCACTCCGGCCACAGCGGCCATTTAGGGGATGAACCATCGGAAGGAAGACCTTTCTCTCTGTCACTCTCACTGTCTAACTCTGCCTGTCAAAAAAAAAAAATTAAAAAACAAATCATTTTCACAGCCTGTTTGTCAGATATGGTAACTATTCACTACCCCAGAAAGGGGCAGGGGCTGAGGGAGGTCGTAACTTAATATCAGAGTTGGGTCTGGCCTCAACTTCTGTGCTGTGAATGCTACATTATATTTCTACTATATTGCATATATCATTATGTTGCCACTTTTGGATGGATTTCCATAAAGTTAAAGTGTGTACTATTTAGGGTATATTCATTATTTGTTACTTTGAAAGCATCACCTTACTGCAGGAGTGTAGTAGTTCTCATTATAAAGTGAGACATTGAAAGCAAATGTATTAGAACTTACACATCTAAATGAATTACTTAAAAAGTGCTTTTTTTAAATAAAGAAATCTTTTAAAATATTTATTTGAAAGAGTTATAGAGAAAGGAGGAGAGACAGAAGGAGAGAGAAAGAGATCTTCCATCCCCACGTTTACTCCCCAGACGGCTGCAACAGCCAGGCTGGGCCAGGCCAAAGCCAGGAGCCAGGAGCTTCTTCTGGGACTTCCACGTAGATGGTAAGGGCCCAAGCACTTGGACCATCTACTGCTGCTTTCCCAGGCCATTAGCAGGGAGCTGGATTGGAAGTGGAGCAGCAGGGAGAGGAATCAGCGCCCATATGGGATGCTGGCATCATAGGCGGCAGCTTTTTCTGCTATGCCACAATGCCAGCCCCTGCAAAAGGCTCTCTGTAAGAACCATTGGCACTGCTGCTGTTATAATGCTGTTCGCAGTTAACAGGAACACAAGGAAACCAGTTGTGTTATTTGGTTATATCTCATTATTAATCAAGTATGGCTTCAAGTGAGTATTGGCTCTTAAAAAAAAAAATGCACCTTCAGAGTGAAGATTTACTATCACAGGGTTGTGGAAGAGAGCGTTCTGTGGGCTTTCAGAATATTTCTTACATAAGATCTCCAGAATGATTTTGAGCTGAATTGGCATTGTTGAAAAAAACATGTTCAGTGAGAGGAAGAGCCTTCATTTCTGTATGTTTGTTTTGATATAACAATCTCCATCTTTCCCTAAAAACAGCCTAGTCTTGAAAGACTACCAAGTATTGTGTTTTAAATTTTTATTTATTTATTTATTTGAGAACCAGAGAAAGAGAGAAGGGTAGACACACACACACACACACACACACACAGAGCGCGAACTCCCATTGGCTGGTTTACTTTCTAAACGCTCACAATGGCTGAGACTGGGTCAAGGCAGAAGCTGGGAGCCGGCCATCCAAGTGTCCCATATGTGTAGCAGAAACCCAGTTTCTTGAACCATCACTGCTGCCTCCCAGGGTCCATATTAGCAGAAAGCTGGAGTCAGGAGTTAGAGCCAGCAGTTGAACTGAAGAGATACTGTGTTGTAGAATGCAGGCATTTTAACTGCTAGACTCAATGCCTGTTCCCCACTAGTTGTAGAATCACAGAGCCAGGCATTTTATTGGTTATTCTGTTTACCCTTCAGGGTGACCCAATGCAGTAGATACCATCTCCAGGTTATAGATGAGAAAACCAAGGTTCAGGGTGGTTACCAAAGTTGCACAGCTTTGCCGTGCTGGAGTAGTGTTTGCACCAAAATCCACCAAAGCCCTCTGCGTCTCTGCATTTCCACTTTTACTTGTCTTAGTGAGAAAGGAGTTTATTTTACACCTGGAGCACTCCTCGTTGATACTGGGCCCTGCTTGCCATGGGAGGTGATAAGAGGGTTTCACTTACCTGCAAAAGGAAGTGTCCAGATTCATTTATTCCACTAACAGTTAGACTCTAACCTGTCTTTGTTCTGTTCTTTAGTTAATAACGGTTCTTTCTACATCAAGGGTGCGTCTGTATCCTGGCTTCATTGATTTAAAAGAAGCTGATTGGATGTTGGAACGGCTTTGTCAGGATGTGCCCTGGAAACAGAGGACCGGCATCCGAGAGAGTAAGTAGATCTTGGATGTTGCAGCTGTCGCTGCCTCGTCTCTCTCCAGAATGTTCTCTAATGCCGTGGCCTCTGCTCACCTCAGCCAGCCCTACACAGAGATTGAAAACTTGAGACAATAAGGATGACTAGGAAATAGCCTGTCAAAGGGGACGGGGCAAGTATTCCAGACAGAAGACACAGCAGGTGGAAGGCCCAGAGGTCAGAGTGTGGCAGTGGGAGTTCAGGGAACTGCAGGAAGCTTGGTTTGGCTGTGCTGTGGTTGACGTTCGTGAGAGTTGCAAATACACATTTGTTTTCATGTTTCTTTTCTTTTTTTTTATTTGGCAGATAGAGTTAGACAGTGAGAGAGAGAGAGAGACAGAGAGAAAGACCTTCCTTCTGTTGGTTCACCCCCCAAATGGCTGCTACAGCCAGAGCTGCACTGATCTGAAGCCAGGAGCCAGGTGCTTCCTCTTGGTCTCCCATGCGGGTGCAGGCGCCCAAGCACTTGGGCCATCCTCCACTGCCTTCCCAGGCCACAGCAGAGAGCTGGACTGGAATAGAAGCAGCTGGGACTAGAACCTGGTGCCCATATGGGATGCCAGCGCCGCAGGCAGAGGATTAGCCAAATGAGCCACGGTGCCGGCCCCTGTTTTCATGTTTCAGTGAGCTTCTTGACATACTCTCATACCTGTCTCCCTTCGCATCCTGCACTGCCTCCATTAGTTCAAGTGGTACCAACTTTCTTCTTAGAAACTTCCAGGCTTCCCATTTGCTGAGTCTATATGGCATGCATTCCTTCACAGTTCTTCTTACTTACTTTTAGTGCTCATTTTACTTTCACCAGAAGTCTGTCCCCTCTGGCCTCAGCATCTTAACCCTCCTGAGCTTGGAAAGGTGACGCGGCAGTTTTATAAACCTGACTTGGGAGCTGCTCCGCTGTGGTTGTCCACCCACCAGCAGTGCCTGTTATACCACAGGTGGTCACTGGGAGGCGTCTGTGGTCTAGCATAGACTTTCTGGCACATTGAATTTAAATTTTCTGTGAAGAAAGCACAGCAAATCCTGGCTTCCTTTCTGTTACTCACATCAGAACAGGAGTCAGCTTTCTCAGGACAGCTTTTCCCAGCTCCCGGTGGTTTCTCCAGCCAAGGCTTTGTTGATAGACGTGGCTTTGTTGGCTCTGTCATTCAAAGTAATTGTTCATTTTAAGCAGGGTACCGTTAAGTGAGTCTCTAATTCTTGGGTTCCTTATTTATAAATTTAATAATGGTACCTATCTTATAAGGTTGTTGAATTGACTAAATGAGATAATGCATGATGAGTCTAACAGAATGCCTGGTACATTGTAAGCCTACAATGAATGTTAGCTGCTTTTATTATTATCGTTTTTACTATTATTTTAGGAAAAAATAGAAGATTTATGGATAATTCTCTCTCTAAATAAATATCAAAGACTTCTGACTCAAATCAGCTACATGCTGTAGATAGAGCACTTTCTCCATTCAGAATCCAAAGGGCCACTACAACATTGCACACGGGGATGAACAGCTTGTCTTGATTCTCGAATGGACATTATGCTACAGATGCCTGCCTACAAGGGTTCAGGCTCCAAGTTCTGGTTTGTTTTTGTTTTGTTGTTTTTATTTTTTAAAGATTTATTTATTTATTTTGGAAGCAGAGTTACAGAGAGGCAGAGGCAGAGAGAGAAAGGTCTTCCATCTACTGGTTCACTCCTCAAATGGCCACAGCGGCCAGAGTTTGGCTGATCCAAAGCCAGGAGCCAGGAGCTTCTACCGGGTCTCCCATACGGGTGCAGGGGCCCAAGGACTTGGGCCATCTTCTGTTTTCCCAGGACATAGCAGAGAGCTTGATTGGAAATGGAGCATCCGGGTCTCAAACTGGCACCCAAATGGGATGCTGGCACTGCAGGTGGCGGCTTATCCACTATGCCACGGCGCCGACCCCCAGGTTCTGTTTTTTGAGACCTTTGCTAATCGGAGCCTTGCCGGTTCTCAGTGTGGCTCTTTCACTTTTATTCTGTCATCACTGACACAGACAGGTCACACACAATGTCAGCTCAGAGCCTCAGTCCAGGAATGTATGCCCGTGTGCTTTTTCTTGCCTTTCCTTCCCAATAACTCCAACTCATTCCACTTACCCAATCCCATATCCTCTATGAAGGTGAAGCCGGGGTCAGAGCCCATCCTTCCTCTGCCTGTATCTGTCTCATAGCTTCTTACATGTTTTAAGATTCACAGTTGGCTCTCATTAGGTATACCCTGAGTAGCACTCAGCTATTTCAAAAGCCCTGTATTTTCTTTCTTAGATATAACTTATCAGCAGCCGAGACTTACAGCATGGTATGGAGAACTTCCTTACACTTATTCAAGAATCACTATGGAACCAAATCCTCACGTATGTTGAAGTATTGTCATTGGTATAGCTTTATCATCTATGTACTTTAAGTGTTGAGCACCACAAAACACCCATAAATTCTCTTGCAGAGCTGCGTGGTGGTTCCTAGTTCAAAAACCCTCTGGGCTCAACAGTGGGTCTTTGTGCTTGTCACCACTTATGTGCTTTTGATCCATAGATGAACTTGGAGAATGAGAAAAAAACTGGGACCAGAGTCCAATATTTCAGGAAAATGAAATATTTCTAAGAAGCCCAAGCTTTTCTGACTGTGACTCTTCTAGTTACGTCCTGGTGCACACTTGCCTGGGACTGTATGCTTAGGATGGGCCAGTGAAGTCAGGATACCTTTTCCCACTTCTCAGGCTCATCTGCTATTTGTAAAACAATCTGGTATTTTTCTTGTTGACTTTGTAGTTCATCCTATGGCTGCTTTCTCAGACTTGCAACTCAATGCTGCTTTTGGCTTATCTCTGCTGCCTCTTTTGTGTTTAGAAATTACCAGCACAGGAGACAAAGATATTCTAGTGTATAAATTAAACCAGAGGATAGAGAGAAAGTCCAAGAAATAGCTCCCTGCTGAGTTCCTGGAATCTTGCCCTTGGCAAATGATGTCATGCTTTAATGAAAGAGACTTTGAAGGAAATGGAGTTTTGCTTATGACATTGACCTACACAGAAGTGTGACACATTTTAGCACTTCTAGTAATTTTTAAGCACAAACCACTATTTTACTAAAATATTCAGGGACAGAGCGTTGGTAGGGTGCATGGCTTTTTCAAAGAGATGCGTTTTGGTTTCTTGGGCTGCATTTGGAATGTAACCCTGGGAAGTGGTGAGACCCTGTGTATGTGAGGTTGCTTTGGAAACATGGAGAGAATATAATGAGGCCAATCCAGTGTAAATGACTGTCCTTGCCTCTGTCAGGATGAGTTCGCCCTCTTGTTAAATGTCATAGCAAAGAATTTGAGGACTAAATAGGTTATTCCTCCTCATTCATTCCAGTTAGTCTTTTAGAACAGGATTTCTTACCCTAAACAACGTCAAATTTTCCAGCCTGACATTTGGGGCTGCATAAATCTTTGTTGTGGAGCTGTCCCATGAATAGTAGGTTGCTTAGCAGTGTCTGTGACCCCCCCCTACCCAGTAGATGCCAGTGGCACCTGTCACCCCATCATGATGACCAACTATGGCTCCAGGTATTGCCAGACATCTGCTGGGGGACAGAATTGCTCCTGGTTAAATACCACTGTTTTAGGAGTGGGTGTTTGTTTCTGTGGTTAAGATGCCACTTGGGATGCCCACATCCCATTCAGAGTAACTAGGTTCAAGTCTTGGTTCCACTTCCAATTCTACCTTCTTGCTAATGCACAGCCTGGTAGTTGGAGCCCTGCCACCTAAGTGGAAGACCTGGGTTGAGATCTGGGCTCCTAGCTTCACCCTTGGCTGTCTCTGTCTCTCTGCCTTTAAAAAAAAAAAAAAAAGAAAGAAAAGAAAAGAACTATTTTACATAAGCATAAGGCATATGAGGTCAGCTAAAGAAAGTAGCCCTTTACTATCTTACATTTGGGAACACTTGGTCAACTCTTCAAGATAATTTTTTATGGCAATCCTGTGTTTTGTATAATGTAAGTAATATGTGATTATTATTGAAAACTTAGAAACTGCAGCTAAGGAAAAGTAATATTAAAATGTTAGCAATTCTCCCACCTGGTGTTTTGGTTCCGATCTTGTTTTAAGAGACAGATATGGGGGGAGGGAAGAAAGAGTGGAGGGGGGGAGGGGAGAAAGGGGAGGGGGGTTGGATAGGAAAGAGAGAGGAGACAGCTTTCATCCACTGGCTCACTCCCCTAATGCCTGGGATGGCTGGGGCTGGGCTAAGGCCAAAGCTGGGAACTCAACCCAGGCCTCCCATTTGGGTAGCAGGCCCCCAGTTACTTGAGCCATTACTGCTGCCTTCCTGGGTCTGTATTAGCAGGAACTGGAGTTAGGAGCTGGAAGTGGGTGTCGAACCCAGGCACTCCAGTATGGGATGGGGGGTTTCAACAAGTGATAACCACTGGGCCAAATGCCCACCCCGAATATTTTTTATTTTAGATACATATATGTAGTATGGGAAGAAAACCAACTGTGTGTACTACATTTCATTTATATATCATTAATGTGTTTTAGTGTCATTAAATATTCTATGGTATCACTTAACAGCTATATGGTACATCGCATTCTAAGTGTATTGTAGTTTGTTCAAGCAAGCCCTTTTTGTTGGATGGTAAGATATCAGGTTAGAGTTGCTTAATCTGGATTTGACTGGCTCATCACTGTGTTCATTGCCAATAGATTTCATTCATTTATATACTGTCTGGAACAAAATCAAGAGTTACCCCTTTTTCAGACTCTTTCAAAGGAGGGTTCACTAATGAGTGTACATGTATGTAGGGATGCTTGTTTAATTTTATAGTGGTTATGACCTGAATCCTAATATGTCACAGCAGAGGAGCAGCAGGGTTATTCATAAGTTTTAGATTTCTGTCTGTCTGTGTGCAGATGAAGCATTCCTTACATGAACTCAGACCCAGCAACTTGACCTCTCCTTGCTCCTACTCTGGCCCCAGGGGTACCTCTGTGGTACGCAGGACTCTACAAAAAGCTGAAATCCACTGAATAGGTCCTTTTACTTCTGTAAATTCATGTTTCCTCATACTCTGTGATTCATGTTTTCTCATACCCTTTCCCTCAAATGTCTTTTAAGGATACAATGTCTTCACTGAACACCGAGATGAGGCTGAATTTTAATATAGACATTGGGCTCTGAGGAATCTGTATATAGAATATTGGTTGGAGAGTCTAAATTAATCCTCCAGTTCATTATCCCCCTCTTCTCCTTTTCTCTGTACTTCACTACCAAAAATAAGCAAGAAAAAATATGTACCCACTTAGAAACATAATGCAAACTTGATCTTATCACAGCGCTCAGTTCCTAAGCAAGTCAGGGAAGTGCTAATTAGATTCTCAGTCGCATTGTGGAAAAGTCCTCTTCCTCCTTTGCATTCTTGTTTTTCTTGTTTTAAGTATATAATTCTAGATGTAATTCTGATCTTTATCTCCATACGGTACATTTAAAGCTGTAAAATAAATAGGAAATATAGCTTGCCGATATTATTATTGGAATTTCACTTTGGAGCTTATTCTCTTGAACATGGATTGTTTAATAACATTTTACTGATCAAAGTTGTATATGTTGTCACTATTTTTTAAAAATCTTCTGCTTAGAATTTAGTGTTAATAACTACAAGAAGAAATACCAGCCGTAACCATGGTTTTCACATCACAGGAAAGCCAAAGGACTCTCACAGATCCTTCTCCAACAGTTTTCCCTGATGATAACCATGGGATAGTCTTTTTTTTCCTTATTTTTTTGTATTTTTTGACAGGCAGAGTGGACAGTGAGAGAGAGAGACAGAGAGAAAGGTCTTCCTTTACCGTTGGTTCACCCTCCAGTGGCCGCTGTGGCCGGCGCACCACGCTGATCTGAAGCCAGGAGCCAGGTGCTTCCTCCTGGTCTCCCATGCGGGTGCAGGGCCCAAGGACTTGGGCCATCCTCCACTGCACTCCCGGGCCACAGCAGAGAGCTGGCCTGGAAGAGGGGCAACCGGGACAGAATCCAGCACCCCGACTGGGACTAGAACCCGGGGTGCCGGCGCCGCAGGCGGAGGATTAGCCTATTGAGCCGCAGCGCCGGCCCATGGGATAGTCTTGATAATATTATACTTTCCTTCATTGAACTTCTGTTCTTTCACCACCAAACATATAACACAGATGTTCGGAGAGTTCTGTAAAAACAGCAGTTCTTAAGTTATAATCTGTGGATCCTTTTAGGGTACTCTGTGAAACACTTTTTGGGAACCCACATTTTCATAATAATCCTAAGACTATGACATGTTCATTGTGCTGATTCTGCACTGATGGCACAAAAGTGGAAATGGGTTGGATTGCTGGTGCCTTAATGTTAATCTTGGCATTATCACCAAACTGTACCAGCAGTCATTGTGTTCTTTGCCAATATGCATTTCTAGTTTAAGGTTTTTTTGGTTTTTTAAATATTTGAAAAGCAGTAACAGAAGCAGAGGCAGAGAGAGTCTTCCATCTGCTGGTTCACTCCCCAGATGACCTCAGTGGCTGGAGCTGTGCCAATCCAAAGCCAGGAGCTAAGAGCTTCTTCTACATCTCCCATATGGGTGCAGGGGCCCATGGACTTGGGCCATCCTCTTCTACTTTCCCAGGCCATAGCAGAGAGCTGGATCAGAAGTGGAGCAGCCGGAACTAGAACCAGTGCCCGTATGGAATGCCAGCACTGCAGGCAGTGGCTTTACCTGCTACGCTACAGCACTGGCCCCTAGTTTAAAGTTTTAAAATGCAGGTTTCTTTTTTAAAAAGTCTTTTTTTTATTTTATTTTTTTTATTTTGAAGGTCAGAGAGACAGAAAGGCAGAGAGAGGGAGTGATCTCTTCCATTCAGTGGTTCACTCCCCAAATGTCCAAAACTGCTGGAGCTGGGCTAGGCCTATTTTGAGGACCAGGGACTGAATTTGGGTTTCCCACCGGGGTTCAGGGGTCTGGCTACTCGAGCAACACAGAGTCCACCTCAGTAGGAAGCTACAGTCAGGAGTGGAGCTGGGACTGGAGCCTGGGCGTTCTAATATGAGATACGGGCGTTGCGGGCAGTGTTTTCTATGCTGATTCTATTTAAGAGTGCCTGTTGCTGAGGCAGAAAACATTATTAGCTTTAACAAATCTTGGCCTTTGAGTAATTATCTTCTTGAGAGTTTGATGAAATTCAGAGTACATGAAGCATGCCTGCTGCAGAGTGATTGTGGAAGCTGTAAGCTGAACTAGCAGTTTTTTTCCTGAATTGTTATTATTACTTAGAAGAACTGGCAAACAGACTTTTTATTCAGACTTGAGTGTTTGGGCGATATTTTCTCATAAATTGAATGAAGTGAGTGTTACTTCAAGGAAAACAATGGACAGGATTTGTTACTAAACAAAACAAACAGTGGAGTTTTCAAGCAAGAATTAGGTTTTGGAAAACTGTTATCTGTCATTTTGAGGCTGACCTCTTCCATGACTTTCTTGATTAGATCAGAGATAATACTGGGTGTGGTGGTGGCGGTGGTTGTTATTGTAATAATGACATGTGTCATGTTTAGAAGCCCTGTGTAATGCAATGGACTAATATTTTCCAAATGACTAATGGTTGAGGTTACAAAGTCATACAAGGTTAAAGAGTCATTCAAAGTACAAGCTGAGGGGCAGCGTTAGCTGTGTCTGCGATGTTGGCATCCCACATGGACCCCGGTTCCTGTCCCAGCTGCTCCATTTCCAGTCCAGCTCACTGCTAATGCACCTGGAAGGCAGTGGAAGATGGCCCAAGTACTTGGGTCCTGCCACTCATGTAGGAGACCTGGGTGAAGCTCCTGGCTTTGACCTGGCCCAACCCTGGCCATTGTGACCGCTTAGGAGAGTGAAATAGAGGATGGAAGATATTCTCTCTCTCTCTCTCTCTCTCTCTCTCTCTCTCTCTCTCTCTGTGTGTGTGTGTGTGTGTGTGTGTGTGTGACTGACTCTGCCTTACAAATAAATAAAGAAATCTTAAAAAAAAAAATACAAGCTGAGGGGCAGGCATTTGGTCTAGCAGTTAAGACACTGGTTAAGGCACCTGCAGCCCATATCAGAGTACCTGAGTTCAAGCCCCAGCTGTGGTCCTGCTTCCTGCTAAAGTGCACTTAGGGAGGTAGCAAGTGCCGTCTCAAGTAGCTGGGTTCTTGGCTTCCACATGGAAGGCCTGGATTGAGATCCCACCTCTTAGCTTTGGCCTGCCCTAGACCTGGCTATCGCAGGCATTTTGGGCATGTGAACCAGTGAATAGGAGCTTTCTCTGTCTCTCTACTTCTAAGAGAAGGAAAAAAGTTAAAAATGCAAGCCTAACAGTAGATTTAAATGTAAAAGAATATGAAAAGTTTGACATGACTTCAGATTCCATGGCAGCTATCCTTGAAGAAATCAACACCTATTGAGTTTTGATGTAATATCAAAGAAGAATTTCTGCAATGACTTGAAAAGGCAAAAAACGTATCCTTGTGTGAAGCCAGTTTTCTTCATATGCTTCAGCAAAAACAGCACATTTTAACAGATTGGACCTAAAAACAGATGTGAAAATCAGCTTCTCTTTAAATGAGACATTAGAGAGAGAGATGTAATTTTTATATTGGAAATTGATTATTTTTGTAAGAATATTTTTAACATGGTAATGGGCTTATTATTACCTTTTAAATGTATTAACCAATAGTTTGATTATCTCAGCTTTAATTTTTAATACTAATATCAGTTTTTTATCAGTTAATTTATTTTTAAAGATTTATTTATTTATTTGAAAGGCATAGTTACAGAAAGGGAGAGGCAGAGAGAGAGAAGTCTTCTATCCACTGATTCACTCTGCACATGGCTGCAACAGCCAGGGTTGGGACAGACTGAAGAGAGCAGCCGGGAGCTTCATCCAGGTCTCCCACATGGGTTCAGGTGACCAAGCACTTGGGGCCATCTTCCGCTGCTTTCCCAGGCCATGGCAGAGAACTAGATTGGAAGAGGAGCAGCGGGGACTGGAACCGGCACCCATGTGGAATGCCAGTGCCTCAGGCGAAGGCTTAGCCTACTACAACACAGTGCTGGCTCTGCTCCTATCAATTTTAATATTGAAATCTATTACCCATGTAAATAAAAGTTCTTTGGTTCCTGAATCATTTTTAATCATGTAAAGTCTGGAACACTGTCCTGAAGTTTCTATAAAGGACTTGGGATTTCTGGGAGGTAAGACAAGAATTCTAGCAAGACCTTGTACAAACTATGCTGACCTTAGCTCCAAACTACAACCTAAGGTCAGGGATCTTAGTTTCCGGTTGTGTACAGGGTGAAGCAGTTCCAAATATAAACTGTGTAATTGTACTTGGTGCCCGATAGGTGGGGCTGTGAAAGTTGCTTGTCTGTAGTTCACAACCCATGCGTTTTGTAAGAACATGTCACCATCCCCATTCTGTAGAAGAGCATTGTTTTCCCCTTCAAGTTTTGTTTATGGGAAGTTAACCACCCTGGAAGTTCTCCACATCTTTTTCACAAAGCAGTTCAGGAATAGAGCAGACAGAAGGCCACCCAGCAGGAAAGTCGTTTCACTCTTCAGATTTCAGTCTGGGTGTGCTGACCACCCGGTGGTACGTCAGCCACACTGCTCCACTTAACCCCTTCACCGCGTATCTAGGTGACCCCCTGAGTGTGACATGACCTTTTTTATGAAGGTCATATATTTAAAATTAAAAAGATGGGATGGGTGGCTGAGACCTGGTCTTCTTGACATTGCTATACCAAATTCGGTACTGTTAGCAAATTATAGAGGTCAGCTTGCTTCAAAATGGAGATGCTGGGAGGGTATTGAACTATTCTTCTTGCCTTCATTTTTTCATATTTTGGGTGGTTTGCTTATTCCGTGCTCCTGGGTATAACGTGGCCAATTTTTCCCTTTCTTTTTCCCATGGGGCTGCCGCCTTATGTCTACGTGACGGTCTCTACATTTGTCTGGCCTGTTGATTGCAGTGGCATCCTGTGCTGAGCACCCTAAAGAGGCGCATTGAAGAGAACACGGGGTACAGCTTTAACTCCCTACTCTGCAACCTGTACCGCAATGAGAAGGACAGCGTGGACTGGCACAGCGACGACGAGCCCTCGCTGGGGAGGTGCCCCGTCATCGCTTCACTCAGCTTTGGCGCCACACGTACTTTTGAGATGAGGAAGAAGCCTTCAGTAGTGAGTATTCTCTTTTATTTGTGTTCTTCCTGCCACTTATTCTGTGAAAAAAAAAAAAAAGTAGTTTCTCGAAGCTCCTGTTTTCAATAATAGAGGATAGGATCATGCATTGTTGATGAAACATTCTCAGCTGATTGCTTACACCATGGTTAACTTTTGACTTCCGAAGTGCTCATTCATTCATTCACTTAGCCATCAGGAATTGTGCCTCGTGCTAGGTGCTGGGCATGTGTTGACGGAAAGGACAGAGGTCGTCCCTGTCCTCATAAAGATGTGGTCTAGTGGGGGTAGAGAGGTATCGCTGGTTACGCAAACAGCTGCGGTTGTGATGAGTGCCGTGAAGGAGGGCTTGTGCAGAGATGACTCAGGCTTGTGGCGACAAGAAGGGAAAGGAAAGATGGCCAAGGCAGATGCCCCTGGAGGAGTGGTAAACAAGTGTCATTCAGGGTGATGTGGCCACTTCTCCGTAGGCGAGCGTCACGACATCTGCATTCCTTCTTGGCTTCCTCCTGAAACACCGATGAATCTGTAAGCTTCTAGAGAGAGGAGAGTCAACCAGATTATCCGAGACGATGGTCTGTCCAAGTTCCGAGACTGAACTCACTGTGTAATACGGATTACCTGACATTTGAGGGATATAAGGGCCAATAGCTTTTTAGAATCAAAAGTGTTGGGGAGACATTGTGGTACAGCAGGTTAAGCTGCCATTTGGGATTCCTGCACACTGCTTCTGCTTCTGATCCAGCTTCCTGCTACTGTGCACCCTAGGAGACAAGAGATAATGGCAGTTGAATTCCTTGCTCCTGGCTTCTCTGGCCTTGCTCTGGCTGTTGTGGGCATTTGGGGAGTAAACCAGTGGATGAAAGATACCTATTTCTCTCTGTCTCTCTGCCTTTCAAATAAACAAAAAAATAAATAAGCATTAAAAAAGTATATGGCCTTAGGACTAAGAAATATAATAGGAAAACTAAGAGCAAACCTCTACCAAATTATTTTATTTCCAGGACTTGGACTTTTCCTGGCCAAGGTTCCTGGTGATTAGCATTATGACATTAAACCAGACACAGTCAGTGTGGAAGGCCAGGGGGCTGTTTTTTGAATATGACCTAATCCGGACCACATCATTATTAGTCAGGACTCATGTCTTTTCTTCATCAGATAAACTGCTCTAACAGCTCAATTAGTAGGCAGGCTGTTTTCCTGATGTGTACTTGGCTTTCTATGCATGGGATTTTGAAGTACATTTCACTGTTTTGCTGTATGCCGTTGAGCACTTTTTGTTGGTATCATTTGCATTCATTAGTTTGCTTCGCTTATATATGGAAATGGTGGTCATTGTTAGCAGGGGATTGTCAGTTGCCAGGGCCTTATTGAGTGAACTTGGTCCCTAAGCCCTTGAGCAGCCTTTGCAGTGGGCAAGCAGCCTTGGCAGGCAGCTTCCCTGGACCAGGTAGCACTGCTTGAGAAGTATGGTTGAACTTCTGCACAGGCTTCCACCCAGTTGAATGCCCCAAGTTCACACGTGTGAAGAATTCAGCTTGCCTTAGTATGACTCTTTTATGAACAGAACACACTGTGTGCTTCATTATTTAAGTTCAGAGCTGCTTTTAAAGCCAGACACATGGGAGGTCAATGCTGTGCTCAGCATGGTCCTGGGAGCAGGGGCTGTGGCGGTGAATGGTTCAGATGACGACATCTTTCTCCCCCTGGGGCTCATCTGGTGCATACTGGTGCCGTGCCATCGTGCTGGAGTCATCTGCCATCCCTCTGATGGCGAACAAGCCACACTGTATTTGAGGGTACTTCTGAACATTCATAGAAAGTGGAACTAAAACTATGAGTTTATTTTGGTGCAAATAATTCAAAATCCATGCGTAGTTTTTTCACAATATGCATTTTCCATATATCTTGAAAGAATTTTTATACCAAAATTTTTTTGCACCAAAATAAACTTATACTTTAAAATTCATTTTCCGTGAACTTTTTCAAGTACTTGCATATCCTCTTAAAATCTTCTGCCGGTGCCGCGGCTCACTAGGCTAATCCTCCGCCTTGCGGCACCGGCACACCGGGTTCTAGTCCCGGTCAGGGTGCCAGATTCTGTCCCGGTTGCCCCTCTTCCAGGCCAGCTCTCTGCTGTGGCCAGGGAGTGCAGTGGAGGATGGCCCAAGTGCTTGGACCCTGCACCCCATGGGAGACCAGGAGAAGTACCTGGCTCCTGCCATCGGATCAGTGCAGTGTGCTGGCCGCAGCGTGCTGGCCGCGGCGGCCATTGGAGGGTGAACCAAGGGCAAAAGGAAGACTTTTCTCTCTGTCTCTCTCTTTCACTGTCCACTCTGCCTGTCAAAAAAAAAAAAAAAAACTTCGTGTCTACTTCTTTGCAACTCCTTTCTTTGTTGCTTGTTGTTGAGTTACTGTTTCTTTGCAAATATACGCTCATCACTACCGACTCCTTTTAAACATTTTATTTTTTAGCTTCTTTATAAATTTGGAGCTTAAGAAACCCCAAAGTATGTTTTCTGGATGATTCCTTTTTCATTCCGCTCTGCAAGCAGTTTCAACTAGTGGCCGTGTTCTGGTGCAGTGAAATACCCCATTCCTGTGTGCCCCGCCCCCCAGTCCCTGAGTGGGCGAGGCTCTTGATTTTCTCATAGAAACAGTGTGAGCTGATCAAGGCATATGTTCTGGTAATAAGAAGGTACTTTCGAAAGCTCATGGGAAATGGAATTGAGATAAGTTTACTATGGTACAGAAGTGGTTTTGCATGCTCATACACTCAGTTACGTGCCAGAGCGCTCATGTGTGAGCAGAGACCCTCACTGCCACGCGTGGCCTCATTTCTGTGGATGTTTGGAACAAAGTCTGTGTTGAAGAGGGAGACTGCACCTGTGGATGCTGCTCTGCTCCTCAGGCTTCTTGGAGAACACAAGCGAAAGCACAGACACTCAAAAAGTAGCGAAGCCTCTTTAATTGTCTGCCCATAGCAGGGGCATCTTTACTAGAACTCTGATAGCTGACTTGATGGGAACAAAGATCTAATAAGAAAGAAAACTTGCCTGACATCGTGAAACAAAGTTGGCTAAGGAAATGGATTTGGGAAGGAGTATAAACCTGTCAGTACCTCAGCTTATCGACTCTAATTAAAGTTTTGGCTTCTGGCCTAGTCTTAACTGTGATTAAATTTGATATAGTTTTTGTGTATCTTCTCAGTTCTGGTTTTTGTTTAAGAAGAGGAAGTTGAATGTTACTATATTGAAATTATAAGTACACATTTGCAAATATAGCTTAATAATGACTTTTTTTCCTGAACCTATTAAGTTCTGTTCTTAGGTAAACAGAACACAAATCTAAACTTTTGCAAAGACTCCTTCGTGTTTCCTAAACAGATTCCAAAACTAATAAGGTTCCACCTATGTAGCTAAAGTAGAATTACCAAAGCTTCATTTGAAATGACAACTTTGCAAGTATATCTCATGGTACCCATATTTACAGTATTATACATGAACCTCTTTCCAAAGCTTTGGAAGGAAGTGGTTATTGCAGAGTTTTGTCTACTTTACTCAAGTCAGGTGCTAGCTCTGAGAACATGACTCGTGACAACCCAAGGAAAACGCATGAATTAAGAAGTATGAAGCAAGGTAGTCTTGTGTGTGGGATTCGTAGGAGTCTGACTATCTTTAACTCTCAGGGACCTATCTCAGGCTGTCACTATATTGTAATTCTCATGTCTGTCAGCAAAACATTTGGGTACGATAGAGGCTGTGGGAGGGAATCTTTGAAACTGTGAACTTTGGCCCATCAGCTGGGCAGCTAATACCTCTTTTACTAGAGTCACGGTCTCTCCCCTAAAGCAGATGTGCAAGAGTCATGACATTTCCTGCACTCCATTCAGATATGCAGTTGTGAGACAGAAAAACACTTGTTTTGGGCTGTTTTCCAGAAGAAGTCGTCTTGATTTGGTAGAAATGCAGACTTCTGCAGCCATGCCTATTTGTGTGTGTGGCGGCCGGCACCTTGAACAGATCTCTGTACTGCAGGTCTCCTGCCAGCTGCTCCGTGCCACATACTGGGTTTGCAACAGTTCCTCCCTGTGTGCGTGCTAGGGAGACCTTTGTTGCCTAAGCCCCAGTGCTTCTCTGACTCATGCAGGCAGTTCAGGCAGCTTCACGCATACATCATCCCTGGGATGGAACGTTTCATTCCTCCAAGGTGCTGGCCCTCGTCTCGCTGTCCTCTAGTCCAGTTCTGTCAGCCCCAATGGTTTTGGAGCACATGTCCGTTTCCTTGACTGATGACCATAAGATGTTGGGGGCACAGGTGACTTGATCTTGCTCTTCCATTCACCTGGTGCTTTCTCTGGCAAAGACTGGGTGAAGAGTGCCCTCCCTCGTTCTCTGGCCAGTGTCAGGCTGTACTGTCTTAAGTTCAAGGTAAAGTTTACTTCAATAGACCTTTTTTAGTCCATCAGGCTGGGTTCTTGAAAGCGTCTGTATACTCCTTGTCCCAAACCCAGTTGTACCTTTCAAACTACATCGTGTCCCTGTTTGCAAAGATTAGCCCGGTTCTTTTCCCAGCGTTAATTCTATACTGAAGAACAAGCTGGAAAAGGAACTACAAAAGCCATTTGGCAGGCTGCTATTTCTCTGTCGGTTACTATGGAAACCGTGATGGCTGCGTGGAGGGGGGGTATTAGATAATAGCAGGAAGTTTGTGATGCACTGGAGGTTTAGATGCCAAAAGCCTTGTTTTTCTAGCAAATTACCCCTGGATGAGTGCTGCTGTTCATCAGCTGAATCCTGCACACAGAGGGGGCGGAGAGGGGGTGGCTTGCAAGTTGGGCCTTTCTCTAGCCACTCCTCTTGGAGGTATCTTCTCAAGGATGTCAGCCCCCTTGGTTGTCTGGCACTGGAGGAAGCATGTGATACCTCCAAACTCGGAAGGAATCTTGAGACCAAGGAGCAGAGAAGGGAGCTCCATAGAGGGAGGAAGAGTTTATCAGG